CGTAAGTTGCTATCTATTTTCAATTATAACTCGAAAACTAAGCTTCGGACAAAATTTTGTAAAAGGAAAAATCGTCTCAGAATTCGTTCGAGAATATGGCATTGCAAGGACATCAGGTTATTTTGAATCACCCTGTATATCACGAAATCCATCAAAACTCTTGCACATTCACTTCATATATCTTATATTATTAAGAAACGCTCAAATAATTTTGGTACGCAAACGAATAATTGTCGAAATGTGCTTTAATAAAAATATTCAAACGTAAAAAATATTAAAATATTCTTTATTTTAATATGAAAATTCAAGATCAAATCTAAAGCATTATAAATGTTGTTGATGGACAAATAAAAATAGACATGCAATAAGAAATTCAAATCAATAATTCTAAGCATCTTGCAAAAAAAGAATCGACGATGTTAATGCAATATCTGAAAATACATCAGGTAGATAAATGCATACACATAATAATTTTTTTATGCAATCAGTCAATCATGTCAATTTATTTCTGCAGTATATGAATTTCATTTAGCGCACATATAATTTCAAAAAATAATGTGTATCTGTTTAATATAACCATAACTTCAAAATAGGCTTATTTGATACATATAGATACAATATTATTTGTACAATGTTTCTTACACAACCGTATATTCGTGTAAAAGATACGCTGTGACATCTTTTTCGCTGAAATATTAGTAGATTTTACAAATACTCGGCATGAAATGTCACGGCGTGTTTCATATTTGTTAGCTAGGTTTGGTCGACGTATCAATATTTACATTCAAGTGAAAAACTGTACGTCTTCTTGTGTCCTCTTTTATACTTTTCGACACGAAGCTTCTGATATCGAATTTAGTTACACTCGTCCAGTCACTTCAAACAGTCACGATGTCTCAAAGTAGTGTAACTAAAAAGCATGTGTGGAAATATTATACAAAACTGTCGGATTTTAAAGCACAGTGCAAGTTTTGCGAAAATATATATATTTATATATATGAAAGCCTTTCACATTTTGAAAAACATATATCAAGAAATCACATAAAAATTTGGAAATACAAAGAACAGAAAAAACTAATAAAAATGGCCATGGATGTATTTCAAGTATCAAAATAAATTATATTCACAATGTATTATCTGTGAAACAAATGTTCCGTCTACATCTGAATCTACATATTAAAGAAATGCATAAAAAAGTTTTTAATCTGGAAGAAAAATTTCGAAGTTTACACGGACCGTCAAGAATATATTTCAAATATTTCAACTCATTGGCTTTGAATTGTATTATTTGTAATAAAAGCGTTTTATTTTATCTGAAAGCTTAGAAGATCACATACGCTCGCATTCTAAGGAACAATTAGAAAAACATACATTTCATAGTTGGCTATGGAAATATTGTACAAAAAGAGATGATTTTGTGGTGGAATGTAATATTTGTCACAACAATTTATCTCTTTCTGAAACTCATCTAGATCATCACATAAAAATGACAAATGACAAATGACAAATTTGGGTAAAAGGAAAAACACGCAAGAAACACACCACACGGATGATTCGTCAGAAATCGTTAGATCACATAAAATGGATAAAATGTCTATGTCACCAAAAGATCGTTAAGTATTATTATCGAAATGTCTAACTTTAGACATTACATATAAAAAGAATGCTTGACAAGTTTTTTAATTTTAAACAAAGATAACGAAGTTTACATGGATTATCAAAAATATATTTTGAGTATTTAAACTGATTGGCTTCAAAATGCATTATTGTAAATGTTTTATTTTTATCAGAAAGTTTAGAAGATCACGTACGCTCACATTCTAAGAAACAATTTTAAAAATATACATTTCACAGTTGGCTGTGGAGAAATTGTACCAAAAGGGATAATTTGGAAATGGAGTATAATAATTGTCACAAAAGCATATCTGTTCCTATTAGAATTCATTTCAATGACCATATTAAAGATAAACATCATTGGATGAGCTAACTAAAAAATGGAAGTAAGTTTTATCAATAATATCGTTAATATTTTGTTATGTATAATTAAATTTTCTTTTGAATTTTTCATGTGAATATTATAAATGTGTATGTAGATTTATCCAAAAATTCACAATGGAAATAATGGTAATGAACAACATCATAATTTCATCATAATCTGAATTTTGACGATTTAAATTTACTAAAAGATAGATACAAGGAAAGTATATATGGCTGTGATGTATAATTATTGGTAACTAGAAATGATTTAATAAAATAATAATTTACTGACTTTTCTGTGAAGAACAAAAATATCGACAATTTGTGCAAGAATTTAATTTGAAATACTTAATTTTATTATATCTTTTTTTAATATTTTAATGTATATTTGTTATTTTTTCTGTTTATATAATGTGAATTTATCAGTGTAACTTCTGTAAAAGTTTGCGAAATGTAATACATTAATCGTCGGTGAAATATATAAATTAAAATTTTAAAATTGTATTTGTTTGAGAAATGTTCATGTGATACATAATACATTCATCATAATAAAATAAATTCATTATAAGAGAGAGTGTCATTTTCTTATTTGAAGGTAGAATATTGTAAGGAATTGTTTGTTACAATAGCAATCACGTAATATTTTGCATCGTGCAATTCAATAATTATAAAATTCCAGATGCTTAGTATATTTAAGAAAATAATTACAATAATTATTATTTAGAATTATTAATTACTCCCAATGTACAATAGTTTAATTTTTATAATTATGGCAAATATCTTTAAAAATTATAAAAAAATTTTATTGATAATTGAGGCGTTCAGTTTTAAAGTGAATCAAGTCTTAAATTTTAAGTTCTAATTCGATTCTTCATAGAAGTTTGAATATTGTTTCTCGTCAGTCTCGTTTATCGATCCGTCTTCTTCGAGATCGACGGCCGATGATCAAAAGAGGTCGATCATCGCGGAAAGACTGACCGGTCACCATCTCCGGGGAGAGGTCCGTTCAAAGCGTGGAACATCGTTAACCTTTGAGATTATCTCCAAGGTGGAGCGTAGTGCACGCGACTTGCACACACTTGCCTGCAAGCACACATGTACAACGCGCCGCATACATAATGTCACCGCCAGTGCGCGCGCGCGCGCGCTCGCTCGCTCGCTCGCCCATACATTCCACGAGGATGACCTTCCCTGAGCGTACGAGAAGAGTAACGGGATTGAGGAATCGATCTACAAAGAGAGAGAGAGAGAGAGAGAGAGAGAGAGAGAGAGAGAGAGAGAGAGAGAGAGAGAGAGAGAGAGAGAGAGAGAGAGAGAGAGGGAGAGAGAGAGAGCGTAGAGATCGAAGGTCCCTCGAGAGATTCGATTCGATCGTGCGGAATGGCGAAGGTCGTCGTGAAGAGGATCTTACGTGAATTATCGCGCGGCGCACCGGGATCGACACGATGATGCTGAATCAAGTAATTGTGATAGTTGAAAGACTTCCCAAGCCAACAAATCGTCCTGCAATGTCGACAAAGTGTTCGCATCGCCATTTACGGACGCGTTAAGCCCTAATTCCATCTGAACGCTTCCTGCTACAGTAAATAGAAATGCCATTTGACACCTAAAAAATTAGTTGCAATTATGCAAAACTCCTCATCATTCATTCATCAATTTTATTCGACACTGAATATCGGTCAGAAACTTTTTTCAACGCGCAATTACATTATTTCTGCCTAAAATCCAAAATTATCGCCGATATCATGGATTTATTTACATTATTAAGATTTGTTTGATAATATTCTCCATTTTTGCGAAAGCAAAGTTATATTTCGTGCTGGCGTTTCTCTCGAGAATTGCGCGCCCACGAGAATCGAGCATGAGAATCTCCGATTGCAACGGCAATGAGCGGCGCGCTTAGCGCGTGAAGCATATATGAGGAGCCCCACGTATAAATATAGATAGATCTAGATCTGGATCTGGATCATAAACAATCGCGAGCGTACCGCGGTAACAGACGTCCGTAATTGCTTCTCTTATGGCCCGCTCGTAACGCAACATCCGGTGCTCGCGGCCACGGCGCGGCGCACCAACGCCTCATCGGAATCCGAGGAAATTGATTTCATACATTGTATCCGCGCGTGTTGCGTGTCGCGTCGACGGCTGAGCGACTATCGCAACTCCTCTCTCCCGTCCTCTCTTTATTATTTCGTTGCATCTCACGACTTTGCTTCACGTAACGTTCGACAGATCTTTCATAGTTTCAAACTGTGTTTTCTCGTATTCTTCCACCAAATTCTTGTCAATATGTAAAAATGTTCTTACAATCAAATTGTAATCAAGTGTTGACATTTCTCCATTTTTATATCGTCTACATGTTCAACATGATCGCTCGAGGGAACTCGAAATAAAACATCGTGTATTATCGAATCTTATAAATCATGCGTGCGGCTCGCGATACACAAAAGCCAGTCGCCTTTCTAAAGCGCTCCTATGCATGCCGTAAAAATCTGAGAGCCGGAATTATAATGCCGCGTAACTAGCTTTCTCTCCATCACGCTAATGCGTGTAATCAATACCTCCCGATATTATACCATAAATCTTGCATTCTTTTGCGCGTAGTCGTTGATGAGCCGTGCAGTTGCGACTTGAGGCCAGCCATGATAATGAAAATAAGAGTTCAGCAATGGGTAGAACGCACATGATCACGTCGCGGATTGATCATCAGCCGACATCCGGACTCGCGATCGCCTCTTACATAACGCACACTGTCGCTATATGCAGGATACGCGATCGCATATCACAGTAATATCACTAATCATTCGCTCCGGTGGAAGGCATTTCCGTTCGATGCAATCGAACCGCTGCTCGTTAAATGTAAAAATGTTCAGAGTAAACTCTCGCGTGTTTACACGCTACTTCTTTCATCGCTTCATTTCTTCTGACATGGCGGTATTACGTACAATCGGAATATTCTCGTCAGATATTACGATGTACTCCGTAGAAATTTAAATGAAAAACACACGCGATTGCGATGCCGCGTGATTTTGATCGACTTTTAGAGTTTTTAACATTGAAGAGTTTTATTGCCCGCCCCGCGTGCAATATATTGACCAGTGCAGCTCAAGAAGAGCTTGCAGAAGACGTTTAATAATAATTATGACGTCTGCAAGACACTGATTATTCACTCTCACACGTATTCCTAAAACTTTCAGTTTACAAGGAAATGTAAAACAAAAAATTTTAATTTATAGCAAGCAAAATAAATTGCACATTCATCATTAATTATGAACAACGGTTATTGAGCTAAAAAGTTACATAAAACATATAGCTGGAGGATATAAGACATGGCTAGAATCGTTCTCACTGATAAAAAATTCATCTTTCGTCCGATATATCATGTCGCCGGTCCATCAATATTCGATCACATTTTCGTCCGGTTGGGCGTGTCGCGGGTCAATGGAACGCGTCGCGGCCGATTATTAAAATGTCACAAGCGTCGCTCCTTATAGCGGCACGTACACGAATACGCATATTCATACGTTATGTGATGGAATGCCGGCGATGTCCAATATGCGATACAGCGGACGGCGCGCGATGCGAGGAAAGCGAAGTGCAGACTCTCCGTTGCTCAAGCGATACATACGTACTATGTGGCTACATAAATACGTTATATATGATAGGTAAGTACCGCGATATATGCGTGCACGTGTGTTGTGTGTGTGTGTGTGTGCCTGCGCGATACGTGTGAGTATGCGTGCATGCAGGCGGCGCGCGCGTACGTTTCCTGGTCGCTCTTATGGACCTGGGCGTGTCGCAATCGCGAGCGACTAAGCGCATACAACGCGCATCGATGCAGGGCGAGGCGATTAATTTTGACATCGGTTATAATTTCTCTACTTAGCCGGGATGACCAGCGAGCGTAAAGAGCACGCTCGTATTCTCAGCCACGAAATTAACTCACGAAGCGAAGAGCGCGGCCGAAACACGCGCTCCAGAATAGAGCAGGTGCTTCGAGAGAAGGGAACAAAAAAATTAACGATATCCGCAGTTCGATGGGAGTTTTTTTCAGACGCGCATTTACGTACTTCCTTCTACTCCCAGCATGCCTTAGAAACGATAATTACACCGCAATGACACCTGTCGCCGGTGTTAGCTAATTGACATTACGCGACACATACGCAATCTCATGCAATGATTTAGCTTGACA